CAGCATCATATGACCCCTTTAAAAGGTAAATGTTCATATCTTTTCATATAAAGTTCATATCTTTTAAAGTCTTCTCCACTTAACAGAACCACTCATTGTGATTGCATTTGAATAATTTGGTACTTTAAATTTAATTTCATAACTATTTCTGATATGACATAATTTTCCTTCCACATGCATTTATTAAAGTAATAACCTATATCAGAGATATTGTAATATTGTATAGAACAGTTTGTCCATATTGAAAACACATTTGTTCAACTGCTATATCATAGGGATATGACTCATCTCATATCAGAGCAAATGTAAGGGAATAGCTCATCTCAGAATGAAAATTCTGTCATACTGAACCCACACACGTCATTCTGAACACATATGCTGTTATTTTCTCCATGCTACTGTATACAAAAATAATCTTTATGTAGCTTTTTGTGTACACTTTAAAAAGTGTTAATCTGCAATTATACATTAAAGAGCTATTTCTACCTGATTTAACCCATAAAATTTACTTTTGTTCGTATAAATTGTTTTAAATATGTTGGTTCAGTGAAGGTAAATAATGTTTTTGACTTAAATAAAACCAGTTAATTTAGATGTAATCCTTTTTGGGTTACCTTTTTTTTTTCCAGTGTTAGTGAACACACCAGTCAAGCTACAAAACGCAGACTCTTTTGAAGTCATACATACAGGAGCAGAATATGGCGGCGTTAGGCATGTTTCATGAAGTTTGACATCAATGACGTTTGGTCACAAGACACAAAGACAACCAGTTGTCAGTGACACATTTGGGGCCAGAAAGAAAATTGTGCAAAGCAGATTTCACATCTGTGTTAGACTATGATAATGTGATTAACATGCATGCAATTTCATCCCCACTTAAAAATTGGATTCTGCATATCATGCTGCATTACGCTTTGTAACAAATGCCTGCATTCACCACTGATTTGAGAGCTCCAGTGAAGGGAAATATTACCACCAAATAACGACTTTTAGTCTCACACAAAGAAATCACACAGCTTCAGAAGACTTTAGCCTTGAATTTTAGCCTTGTACTATATGGTTATGGTGCCTTTTGGTGTTTTTTGTCATTTTTGTCACAAAAAAATCTTTTATGTTCAACAGAAAAAAATAACAGCAAGTTTCAATCAACATGAGGGTGAGTAAATAATGACATTTGTGTGCCAAACATTCCTTTAAAGTGAACTGTGTCGTTTCAAACCGTCCTGTTTGTTGGACGACAGGTCCAAAACTCATTGATTGAGGTAGACTCTTAAAGAGAATAGCACATGAAAGATGTAAATAAAAAATTCTAAGTCAAGTAACATTTCTAGAGAAATGCCAAAATATGCCAAAATTAATTAACCAATTACCTCGGATATTCAGATCACTGGGGTGTTCATCGTATTTCTAAATTTCTTGAGAAAACTTAAAATGTCAAAATTTGCATTGAGAAACTGATGAGCCATCCTCAGTGGAATACAAAATATTTTAAAGTACAGCATTACATTCATATTGTCTTTCAACCAAAATTCCACAAATCCATCACATGTAGCATGGGGTAAGAGAGCAATGTGGCACTTGATATATATATATATATATATATATATATTTAATGTCAAGGAAGAAAGAAAGCTGAAGGCTTGACATTTTGTTAAAACTGTAGATGCATTTATGGTCCATAATGTGTGCATGTGAGGATGCAAATATTGTTAATATTCTTAAATATACTTAGCTTACGCGTTTCAAACTTACTTACCCAAGGTGTTTCCGACCAGAGAGACAAGGAAAACTATGATATATCCAGCTATGAGCACCCATTCATATTGTTTAGGATGCAAATATTCCCTCCAGATGTACTTGAGAAGTTCATCATCTTCATCAATATGCGAATGGGAGTAAATGTCCGTGGAGTTCAGATGCTGCGCTGATGTTAAACAGTCATTACAAGCGTCATTAGCGGTGATCCCAGACATGTTTCGCGCGGACCCGGGCTCTCTCTCCAGCATCGCGGATGATTGACACCGCGCTAGTGAGCGGAGAGAGAGAGGGAGAAGGGGGATACAACTGAGAGTTGGATTGCGTCGTGACGCACTGTGGACCTCGCAGCATATAACCAATTAGTTTGCAAGACAGTGAAGCGTTTTGAAGTCAGAGTATGAACCTACAGAATCCAACAAGTGCTTGCAGCACGGTTCTTTATATCGCATTCGTGTTTATTCAAGTATAGCTGCCAGACTTACGCCGCATAATAAATGAAGCCCATACACGGTCAAACAATCGTATCTTCTTAGTGCTCTACTAGATTAAATGATGTTAAACATCACGAGTCGCACTGTCATACCTGTTATAGCCTATACACTGAAAAAGGTGAAACGAGAGTGTCATTAATCAAAAACATGATTTCTGTTTTGAATAAAACCAAATAACTCTCCCCAATAATAATAACAACATTAATAAATTCTGTTTTGTTTAAATTGCGTTTTCTCTTGACACCAGAGTGCTTATGTGCAGAACACATACTGGCTATAGCTTTATTGACTGTGGGGTTTTACGTATGTATGAATGTATGTATGTATGTTGTACATAACAGAAAATCTTACATATTGTAGCTTTCAGAAAAAGTACTGGAAGACTCACATTTGTCTGCAGAATGTATTAACACTGGCCTCACCCACCAACAGAAGCAAGACAAACAGAGCCAACAAACACACTTACAGTATGCCTTGCCAGTGTGTGTACCTGGTATTCCCTAAGTTATGGGGTCCAAATGTCCCCACAAGGATAATAATACCAGTAATTTATTTATTTTTGGTCCCCATGAGGAAAAAAGCATATAAATCATACAGAATTATCTTTTTTGAAAATGTAAAAATGCAGAAAGTTTTGTGTGAGGGGTAGGTTTAGGGGTAGGGTTCGGGTAAGGAAAATACAATTTGTACAGTATATAACAGAATTTCATTGTGCCTGGAAAAGCATTTTTTAAGAAATAATAATAATAATTGTAATAAATATTTGTAAATTATAAAATAATACATTTTTGACTATGCCTCGGCCAAAGTCAGTGAATTTGGTTATATGACATTGAGGGAATACTGTTGTAGTCTATCAGTGCAAATGCTGAAATGCAAAACATACAAAAGCTATCCAGATAAAACAAGCAGAGGCCTCACATCGGGGGGTCATGAATGCATTGACTGGTCAATGCATTTATGACCTCTGTGATACACCTGAATCTTGTAAGCATTTATGTTTCTAGTCTGATGCTGGTAGAAATATGTGATGTGGTCATATAAAAGAAAGCAAATATATGAGAATGTCTGGCATTCCTTTAATAAGCACAAATTGATACTCCGTTCTTTCAAAGGATTTACATATGAATAAATACATTTTTAAGAGGTTGTCAAATGACATTTTGCAAGAATTCCAGTTCACCATTAAAGCTGCCCTGAAATTATTCAGATGCACAAAACGTTCGCATTCGTAGAACTACTATGCATGTACTGTTTGTCTCCATTTTCAAGTAAAGGCAAATTTATCCTGATTATTATTCATATGGTTGTTATTCAGGTTGTTATTCATATGTACCATGCATTTTATCCCTTGACTTACACTAACTCCATCAGAAATGACTTTTGCAGTCTCTCACTTTGGTACTGGATGCACATCACCTAGCTCACAGAAAGGTCAACACATTTGTGCACAAAACCTGCCTCTTGGTTCTCATCTGAAGCATTATTATTCTGCAAAGTAAAGGTCGTGCAAAGTAAATAATCATTATTATGAGTATAATTGTCATATTGGATGAAAATATTTTAATTTCACAAACTTATCAGGAATGATTAGTTGGGTTAGGGTTGCATAATAATGTAAACCGATCTAACAAGAATATGTAAGTGATGACGAAATAATACAAAAACATGAGGTTTATTTGTAAAATGGCACTGTGACAGTACACCCCGAAACCTAACCCTCAGAGGGGCATAAGCAGAACATACGATTGAGATTTCTTAAGAATTCACACAAATTAGAAACCAATACCCTACAAATGATGTTCATGAGTTCATGAGGAGCATGTTCAAATAATCTACCCAATCAGCACAACTTAGCTCAACTTAGCTCTGAGCATGACAGTTTTCCAGCATTCCTCCTCCACCCCAACTCTTCACTCTCGATTATTCCTATTCCACCCAAGGATGGGGGGAGTACTATGGGTTTGGGTCAAATTTCGAGCTCAGAGCCCTCTCCTTGGACAGTACACCAAATATGCATATTCTGTACTATATCTGATTAAGTGCAAAATCACAAGCTCTGCTTTTTAATTAAATTAACTGAATGGTATCTTACACTAATACTATTTTTTTTTTGCATTTGGATACATATCCAGAGGGTACTAGAGCTTATACCAGATCCAGCTCAGCTTGATGTTGCTGCCCAATGTCTACAAATTACAACCTGTGCCAAGCAATCACTTGGCATTTCAATGGATCAACATCTGCATCTCTTGGCCTTCCATAATAAACCATGAGATGAACTACTTCAGCTTTTGGATGGACACTGGATCTATCTGGACTTTACAATTCATTCCTGGATGTTCCTCAAAGCTATATTTTTACTGCTATATGTGGACAATTAGCTATTACGGTATTCTAAACATTAACATTAACATCATGAATATACATTGCATATTGAAGTGAAAAGAAGTAACGTGTAGCCAAGTATGGTAACCCATACTCAGAATTTGTGCTCTGCATTTAATCCATCCAAGTGCACATACACAGGAGTGAGTAGAGAACACACACGCGCACACACACACACACACACACACACAGACACACACACACACACACACACACACACACACACACTCACTCACACACCTTGAGCACACACCCGGAGCAGTGGGCAGCCAGTTTTGCTACGGCACCTGGGAAGGAATGGGGGGTTCGGTGCCTTGCTCAAGGGTGGAAGAAAGTGCTGTTCATTCACTCCCCCCACCTACATTTCCTGCTGGTCCTGAGAATCGAACCCACGACATTCGGGTTACAAGTCCACAACTATACCCCCAACACTTTACCTCCTGAGCCACCGAGTTTGTAAAAACTTTGCCATTTCTTAATAATTCAAATAAATTATTTGTATAGCGTATGAAATTTAAACAAATAAAATTAAAATTCACCCAATTTTAAAATGGAAACTCATTTTAAAATAAAAACTCATGGCATGAGAGTTTGTTGAATAATGCAGAACCTGCTAAAGCTGTTTCACCACTGTATGCTCAAATAAGAAATTGAATTAGTTTTTTTTTTTCCCCATTTGACCTTTATATGATGCCAAAAGAAGACTGTAATCCATGGACAACAGAATAGGTGCACTTTTGTCATTACAATGTTTTACTTCTTAAGAAATTAATAGTAAATTTAACAGATATGCTAAAACTGATGTGCACATGAGATGAGGAGGCCAGTCATGTCAGTAGCCTAATAAAAGCTGTTTGGCTTTTGGGGTGAATCACCTCATGTTGAGATCCTGTGACCAGCCGATTCTCCTTAACAGCCCCTTGAAGGATTTTTGCTTTTGCGTGATGCTGCATCCTCACCAGTAGGTGTCAGTATAAAGTCCAGGAATACTGACCACATTGATTAAAGCTGTTTTATATTTTATATATGATATAAGCTGTTATCTAACTTGCTGTTAGTAAACCCAAACAAGTGAATACATTGAATATTTATCTTCCTGTAGTCAAATGGATTTTTTTTTTTCTTGTAGCATGTCAGCCTCTTTCTCACATATAACACAGTTTCAACATCAATCAGTTTCATGAGCATTCATTTATTTGGTAAGTACCCTGTTGGGATACAAGCAACATTGATTGTTTTTGTGAATTTTTTTTTAAATAATAATAATAATAATAATAATAATAATAATAATAATAATAATAATAAAAAGGTCACAATTATAGCGCTTCGTGAACACAATTTTATATATAGAGGCCTCAAGGGTGAAAACATTAAGGTGATACTTTCACATTTACTACATGTCTAAAAATGCTCCAAATGAAAAAAAAAAATCCTGTGTTGCTTCTCTGGAAAATGCTTTCTATAGTCTATTTAAAAGTGGTGCACTGAAGTAATGAGATAATGCTGCTAATTAAATTTGATAAAGTCAAAAATTCCAATATGAAAGGATTACTTGAAATATCAAATTATTGAGACACGAATAAAAAGGTCCCATTTAGTAAGAGAACAACATTTTGATATTTGACCAGTTTGATATTTGTCCAGTATACTGAACTGTACATGTGCACTTTTTGAAATGAGAGTCATTAATTCACATATTTAATAGAGAACTGTTTTGGGTCAATCACGACACCCACAACGTCATGACCTATAGATAGATAAGCCAGTGCAGAATATGCCAGTATGGTCACCCTTAAAGATAGTTAAGCATCAATTACCCACAAACTAACATTTATTTATCTTGCATGTTTCCAGCAATGTCAAATGTTTTTAAGTGACAGAAATTATTAACCCAGTCTCCCTACTCAAAACATTACTTTTAAATTTACAAATAATATTAATAAAACTAAATCTACTACAAAGTAACAGTGTAACAGTGCTTGCAGCATTTTCAACCAGTTATATTGCAAACCTTCAACACTGGCTTTAGCAATAATGCATTCAAGTAAACATCATTGTTGCACATTTTGACAGCCAAAATGTGTCACTTAAAATATTTTATTCTATCCCAGTTTAATATGCAGAGAGAGTTTAAACAAGCTATTTAAGCACGACCAACCCAGCCAGTCTGACATAACCTTAGCATTAGTTAGGGGCAGGACTATCTGTTAGTCTGACCATTGAAAAGTGGAAAATAGTGCTTAAGAGACCTTTTTAAAAATGCTTTGTGCAATTTTTGCAATTCCATTTTGTCAATATAGTGGTGCAGAAATGACACGGTTCCGCTTCAACGTCATTTCAGTAATTGTTTCAGTACTTATTCTTGTGTATTAAATTTCCAACCCTTTGAATGAAACGGCCAATTCTATTGTCATGTCCCTGCGTCTGCTGGTTTGTATAAGTGCTATGGTCATTCATTGGCTGTCTTCTTAAAAAAACAGAATTCCTTGTTTTCTCGCTTACGTGACTCTGTGCAGCAGGCTGGCCTGCGGTGGGAAGCCTACTTTCAAATGAGCAAAGTGGCTCAAATCTGCTATATAGCCTGTTTGCTGATACTTGTTGCTTTGACAACAGATCCGATCTGGTTAGTGTTGAGTCTGTCTTCTCGTTTTGAGAAACGACCGTGGATTGTTCCTGTGTTTTGGAAGTCTCTGCACTTGCAGGGGTGTGAGAGGGATGAAGCTCTTCGGTGATAAACCGAGGCGCAGATGCCTCTCCCGCCAGGCCAGGAGAGTGATTCTCAGCTCCAGAGATCTTCCCATTAGCTTGCTTCAGTCTGCTGCTCTCAACGGACTTGGTGGAATTGGCAGTGCTATCCTGGGATTTCTTGCCTTGTGCTGTGTCATCATAATCTGAGAGAATTGTATCAGTGCTGCTTCCCATTTTAAGACTTTCTGAGTTCTTTCCTTTCGGTGAGCTGTCCCCCTTTTGTGGGATGTTTAGAAGGGATTTTATTTTCTTGGTGCTCTTTTTCAAGAAGCGCTGCGATGATGCGCTGTTTGGTTTTGAAGGCTGACTGTCCTCCGTGTCCAGAAGCGTTGCTGACACAGTTCTCGAGGGAGGCTCTTGCCATATGTTTCCTGAGGTAGATGTGCTCTCATCTGCCTTTTTGAAATCATGATGTGAGACGGACCTCTGGTCCTCTTTGAAATTTGGTGTGTACGCTTCGTTTCTGGGATTCTCATTTGCAGACATGTTGCAGATTTTCTGTCTTATAGGTAAAGATGCGTACATGTTATTAGAGGGCTCATTCAAGTCGCTGTTATATGTATTGCACCTGGGATCGGCCACGCTGTGCCTTTTGTATCGGTCCTCTTGCTGGTAGTCATGCTCCTTGTTTGCAAATATATTTTTGGCTCTGTTTAAACTTGCATATATTGCATCCTGTCCGGAGCCATGGGTCGTGCTACTTCCTGAGTTTTCTAAAATCTGTAAACTGCACCTCTTTAGCATGTAGTCATCGTGCTGTGCTGTCTGATTCCACAGGGTTGAAGAATACATGTGAGCGTTTGACTGAATTCGTGCCAGATCGTGGTTGAAGGATGCTGAATTATTGGAGTAGCTGTTTGTCTCTGGTTGTTCTGGTATGGTGGACGTGAAAACAACCGATGACCTGATGCGGGAGTGTTGTGGAGGAGCCATTTTATTCTCCTCAAATTGGTCCAGATAATCGTAGTTCTCGCCGTAAGGTGGATCATTGTTGTTGTTGAGGTAAGACTCTATCCTCCATGTCCGAAGGAAAGACTTGGAAGTACTTGCTAAACTGGGCAGGTTTTGCCTCATGTTTTGAACTTGTTTGTCGTGGCCGTGGTAAGATTGGCGCATGTTTGAGCCTCTGAACATCGGGTTGATGACGTAACTTTCATACTGCTTGTCCACATTGTTGGAGAATCCGCCATAACGGTTGCTCTCTGCTGCCACGTTCCAATTACTAGTGCCATACTTGGGCAGTTTTGGCAGATACACAGGCTCCTGCTGCTCTCCTGCATAGCTGTGTCTTTTGTAAAACTCTGATGTATCTTGAAGGAATCGAGCATGTGGTGTGACAAGTGGTCTTTCTTCAACCTCTCTCAGTGCCGAAAATCCTGATCTCCTTTCACAGGTTTGCCGGTAAACAGCGTCAAGTGTATGCCTTAAATGATCTTTCCTTTCAAAGGGTTGGCTGGAATGAATCAGATAACCATCCATTTTTCCATTGGGCTTCGTCTCACACTGGTTCACGCTGGCAGTCTGAAACTGAGCTGGGACTGTTGATCGAGCGTACAACGTCCGAAATTCCTCATCGTAAGTCTCCACTAATTGGCCTGTTATAACCTGAACCATGCTGAGGTTTATCTTCTCGTAGGACCACATGAAGCTGTCAAACAAGAAATTAATATAAACATAGTTATTAAATTTCAGTCATAGCAACATATGCAAGTGTGTTGGAATGCAGTTTATCTTGGGTAAGTTATAAATGACTGCAATCTTTTGAAAAATGCTTTTGAAAGTCAGCAATTTTTGCACTGTTTGTTGACATATGTTAAATGTTTTTCAAGTCCTTGTATAAAGTGGCCCAGAGAAGTATATGGAGACTTAAGCCACTTTTTAAAAAGAGCATGAATGACTTTGGATTTTATAATCATATCAAATCAATAGCCATTTATTTAAATTTGAGCAAATCACATCACAAAAATTGCACACATGAAAAAAAAATGTATAATAATAATAATAATACAAAAGTATATGACCGCTTTCTGGTTGTCAAATGTACTGTAGAATATGTCCATAGTTAATCTGATAAACTACTATGGTTGATAAAAACAACTATGGTTGTTTTTCTAGGGCACATGTATGAACCTGAAGGAAACCCAAAGGGGGGAAAAAAAATATTATTATTATTATTAAATTAATAATAAAAAATGCCGCCTCACCTATATGATCCAAAAAACACTTTTTGGCAGTCAGCAAGAAAAAATGTCTGGCCCATTCCTCCATGGAACTTTACCCCAGATCTGCAACAATATTCCTGGCCTTTCACTGTGCGTATCCTCATATTCTATATCCAAGAAGAAGAAAAAAAAAAGTTAGATATATTTTAGCAAGAAACCAAGCAAATATAAATATCCTTGAATTTTAAACAACATTTTAACTACTTTAATTCAAATTCTTACAGTGCACGAGTCATCAGTGCCCATTCTTTCAAATAAAACACATATTTGTCTTTATAAATGATGATAACACTCTGGTTACTGACGTAACCTTGGTTCCCTGAGATAAGGGAACGAGCGTTGTGTTTAACGCAGTATGGGGAAACTCCTGTTTACTCTGTTACTGAAGCCTGATTTGTACATGTTTGTGTGGCTGCACAAACCAGTAGCGCTTTTGCCTGCCAAAAGGGGCGGAGCTGACCTCAATATAAATCGGCTCAGACCTCCATTTCATCTTAACCATTCGACTGAAGCAACAGTCATCGATTCGTGTGCAGTTTATAGCACGGCGAGTTACGCAACACTTGTTCCCTTATCTCAGGGAACTGAGGTTACGCTAGTAACCAGAGCGTTCCCTATCGGACGGTCTCGCCCATTGTGTTTAACGTAGTATGGAGAACGCATCCAATCACGCCGTGCTATGAGCAGATACAGAGCAACCTGCTCTGTGAGCCCAGTCTCCTAAAGAACATGAGCAAAACTGAATCCCGAGCTAATTGGCCGAGGACTACAGACATAACCATTTTCACCCTCAGGGAGAAATAGGCAGATTAAGCAGACTAGATCGGTGCCTGCAGGGCAGTCGTTAGCAAACTTAAGACAGGAAGCACTGACTGACAGTGCCAGCAAGTCACCCACTCGCTTGACCGACACTATATGCAAATAGGAGGGCGGCTTAAGCGACATGGGCCGCAGCTCGGCCGAATGGAGCGGCTCGAAGGGAAGGCCCTGTAGGGCCTATTGACAAGTCCCAGGTCAGCACAGTCTGATGACGAGGAGGATCTCCGGGTGTCCTTCAAGAACTTAACTATCAGATCGTTTCTGCTCACCGATTGGCCAACTTCGAGGGAATGATTCGCTGCGATAGCTGCCACATAAACTTTGAGTGTGGAAGGGGCGAGCCCGTTGTCCAGCAACTCTTGTAAGAAAGTTAGCACATGGGACACGTCACAAGAGACCGTGCAGAATATCAGTCACGAAAGACTGACCATTTAAGGGCGTAAAGGCATCTTGTAGATGGTGCTCTAGCCTCTAAAATGGTGTTGCTCACACTTGCTGGGAGCTGTACAGGCCCCCGTCGAGGCTCCATACATGAAGGCTCCACAGCTCTGAACATGTTCTGAATATCGCCTGAAAGAGAAAGTCCTGCCTCAATGGTATCGGCCACGAGGCTGCTGCTGATGGCTTTACTAACTCGGCGAACCATGCCTGGTTCCTACAGAGCGGGGCCACCAGGAGGACTGAGCATTTGACTTCCCTGACCCGTCTGATGACCTGAGGAAGCAGGACGATTGGGGGAAGGCATATAGGCGAGCGCTGGGCCAGTCGTGGGCCAGGGCATCTCGCTGCATTGAGAAATAAGTTGGGCAGTGAAAGTTGTCTTCTGAGGCGAAGAGGTCGACCTCTGCCCTCTCGAAGAGAGACCAAATTTCCTGAACCATCTGAGGATGTAGGGTCCATTCTACTGGGGCCATATTGCCTCTGGAAAGCTTGTCTGCTCCAAGGTTCAGACTGCCCGGCACATGAACCACTCTTAGTGAGTTTGCTCTGTGCCCAAAATAGGAGGCACTGAGCCATCCTGTAAAGGGAATGTGACCTCAGACCGCCTTGGATATTGATGTATGCTACCAACGTCATGTTGTCTGCCAGACCAGGACGTTGTGCCCCTTTAAGGCTGGCCGGAAGGTTTTTGGTGCCAAGAAGACTGGATTGAGCAGGAGCCGAACGCCAGATTGCCCTTGAACAGAGTTCCCCAACCCGAGTTGAAGGCATCTGTTGTGACTAGCTTCCTCTTGGAGGTCAGTCCCAACTGCACACCTGATTGAAACAGGTGAGGAGTTGTCCAGGGCGCCACAGCTCTGATGCAGCGATGGGTTACCCTGATGTAAAACCGACCCAGGCACCAGGTGTGGGATGGGTACGGGCTTTGAGAAAAAATTGGAGAGGCCACATATGGAGCAGGCCTAGAGGAATAACAGAGGAGATAGCCACTATGAGGCCAAGCATCCTCTGAAAAGCCCTGAGTGGATATAAAGTCCCTAGTTTGAAAGATGCCACCAGTCGCTGAATAGTCCAGCATAATCCAAGCCCACATCTGGGCAGAGTCTATAATTTTCCCAGAAAGACCACTAGCTGTCTGGGTGACAAATGACTCTTGGCTAGGTTGATTCTCAACCCAAGACACTCCAGATGGCTGATGCAGCAGCGTCCTGTGAGCGACCAGTTCCCGTTCTGATCTGGCTAAAACCAGCCAATCGTCGAGGTAGTTCAAAATGCGGATTCCCATCTGACTCAGAGGGGAAAGAGCCGCGCCTATGCACTTTGTAAAAGTGTGTGCGGCCATAGACAGTTCGAATGGCAGGACTGTATATTGATAGGCCACTCTCTCACATGCAAATCTTAAGAACGGTCTGTGACGGGGGCTATGTGGATGTGAAAATAAGCGTCTTTCAGATCCACGTCAAAAACCAGTCCTCGGGGCATATTTGTGCAAGGATCTGTTTTAGAGTTAACATCTTGAACGGCCGTCTCAATAGTGAACGATTCAGATGCCTGAGATCGAGAATAGGTCTGAGCCTGCCATCTTCTTGGGAACAAGGAAGTAGCAGCTGAAAAAGCCTGACTCGGTTTGCTAGAGGTACCATCCCACGGCACCTTTTGCATGCAGTGTTTGTCATTCGGACCGAAGAACATGCTCTTTGTTTTCCTGTACCGAAGTCTGAATAATGTCTCTGAACAAGGTGGCCTGCGAGCGAACTGGAGCGAGTAACCTTGTATTATAGAACCCAGCTTGAAACATCCGGGATGGGTTCTCAGCCCGGAGCCGGATGGCAAGTGGTTCCATTTTACGAATGGTAGTTTGCCGCCATGGGGCGGGGAACTGACTTTTGTGGTAATAAGGAGAGGAGAATTGCTCTTGTGTGTCCGCTATCACAGTGGTAGTTTGCTTGGGCGCGCACTGAATGAGAAGGACATGCCAAGCTTGAATAAAACATCCATCACTCAATGTTGAACAGAGGGATGGAGAGCGAGCGCGAGGGAGTGAGAACTAACTTCACCGTTTCATCCTCCGAGGCAGCTGAAAGGGGAGAACGTGAGACCTGGAGGGGCGGGGCCGCCTTCATTGAAGAAGGCGAACTGTGAGCGAAGCAGAGTGAGACACATGCTCTCATAGTGAAAGCGGTCTGTCACAGTGAGCACAGCGTGGGCGTGTGGGCAGATCAAAGGGAACTGTGCCGGCATGAGATCACTCAAACCCGGTTGTTCAGCTCCGCGATTCCACTGTTTCTTTCTCCGAGCTCGCTGAGAGAGGAGAAACGAGAGCGGGGCTGACTTCACTGAAGAAGGCGATTCGCAAGCGGAGAAGAGTGAGACTCATGCTCTCTGTGAGAGCATTCCATCTCAGTGAGTGCATAGCCTCTGCGTGGGCGACAGCACTCACTGCGCCCTTCTGCATTGTGCAGGGGTTCCCTGCACGAGCCGCACGAGCCACACTCGCAGAGTGACATTTGCAACAACATCACTAGGAAATGTGCTCAGAAATTTGCTCTTTTATTGTGCCAGATGGATGCAGGGGAAGGCTTCTGGCTTCTTCCTCTGCCGGGGCTCCTTCTATGGTAGCGAGCAGCAGGCTGAGCTTCTTCCTTCTTGATTCAGCTTCTTGATTGCATAGTCAGCGAAGAGATGATCATCGTCGCTGAAGGAGACGATTCTGATGAAAATTTTTTTGGTGGCCTAAAGCACCATTGGTTTGTGCAGCTATACAAACATGAACAAATCTGTCAAGGCATTGTGTCCTGGTCTGCCTGGAGCACATGGCTGTCAGTTGGTATTTATGTTTGCCATGTGCTCTATTGTCTATTGTTACCCCGCCCCTCTTGTTACCTTATTATCTTGTTAGGGTTAACACCTATTTTAGATCATTAGTCACCCTTTATATTCCCCTCTTGTTTTCTGTCTTGTGCCAGATCGAATCTCTGCTCTGCTGAGTTAACCTGGCTCTTGTCTCTGTTTACTGTTATCCTGTTCCTGTTGTTGTCTAGCCTAGTCTTGAATAGTTTCCTTTGCATTTATGTTATACTTTTGATATTAGTTTTTTTTTCTTTTGAGTTAGTTCTGTTCTCTCTAGTTCCTAGTTTTTGAGCTCCTGCTGTTTAATTTTGTTTTTGTTTTTCCCCTTCCCCCTTGTGCTCCCCAGCTCCCCCATCGGCTGCCATCGCTGCCCAGCTCTACCTGCTCCCCTGCCCTTCCTGTTCCATCCATCCAGCTGCTCTGCTAATATCAGGCTGGTCCACCAGCCTCAGAGGATTCCAATTAAGTCAGCCAGGCTTCTGCCTTCACCCTCCAGGAACACTCTCCCTCTCCCTCCCACCGTCGCCATTCTCTGTCCCTTGGTGTTCATTGGAGAGCTTGACTGTCTCGTTGCTCTTGGACTGTAACTCTCTGCCCTTTGCCCTGAAACCCCGTTCCTAGACGCCTCCTGTTGAGCTGACTTTCACTTCCACGACCTGGCTGGAATCTCTCCTGGTTACCCTCTCAGACAGTGGCTTAGTACCTGCTTTGTGTTAGAAAAAACTCAATAAATCTTTGTTATCCTTGCAACTGATTCCTCTTCCTTTACCACCCCTGACAGTTCAATCTGGCCGGTGTTCCTGCTGAGTACCTCGATCTTCGGAGGGTCTTTAGCAAATCTCAGGTGGCATCTCTTCCTCCTCATAGACCCTATGAATGTGCTATCGACCTTCTCCCAGGCACTTCTCCGCTTCGTGGTCGCCTTTACTCTCTCTCAGTGCCGGAGAGAGAGGCTATGGATAAGTATATCCAGGAGTCATTGGCAGCTGGCCTCATC